TTTCCGGTGAGCTCATGGAAAGTCCAAGATAGTCCAACATGAAGGGGGAATGTTCCGGTGAGCCAGAAACATTAAAATAAAAAAAGGGTACGCATTGAACCCTCGCTTCTAGTTCTGTTGCACTTAGGGTTTAATTCGTAGATAATCCGTGACTTGCACATTATCGCGATCCTCACAGATCCCAACATGATGTGCTATAGCGTATGAGACATTTGTCGTTGTATATTTGGGAAGAATACGCATAAACTTGTCCGCACTAAATGGCACGTATTTGTCTTGCGGAAAGACATTATTTCATATTGGTATTTCTCCTCCAACATCAAGTTGTAAGATTTTTTTGTTTATACTTTACCTTGTAAGAATTATTGCGGAAAGACCTTATATTATATTGGCATTTTTCTTCCGCATCAAGTTATAAATTTTCAGCTTATAGTTTACATTGTAAGAATTAATAATATTAACTTTGATGTGTCGGACCAAGGATCTACCTAAATCGGTGATATGAAGCCTTCGATCATCCAAGTACAGCTAATAAACTGCAAAACAAGGATTCGTGGGAGCTCCCGATGTGAACACTTTGACGCTCAAGTCAATGATCGAAAAGGGGATCAATATGGTAAATATGTCTGGAATATTGAGAGGTCAGAGAAAGCATTACAGTTGTAACTTATACTTTTATATAAGATGAATACCTTGGTGCCAAAGACTTCTTTCTCCACATGAGTTGCCCAACTACCCGATGTCCATCCTTATCTAAAAGTGTTCATCCTTATCTGATTGAGTTCACACTACTCTTTACCCAGTCGGGCCTTATTATTAGTTAGCTTGCATATGTTCTTTCTATTCCATTAGGTCGTCCTAATTAATGTTGAGCTATACAACTCGGTCAGTTTTTCAATATGGACTCACTTGTCTCCATGTGACCGAGCTGAACATCCCGGTCAATTCCTGCAGGTCCATTCTCGTTAATTAAGGACATACGACCTAATTTTAGCTTGAACCAGCAGACCTGCTTGGTTTCTTATGTTGATCTCAATTCAGCTGAGTTGGAGCTATATCAAACTTCATTTCGATAGTTCTTTAATTGTATTGACACTTACTTTGTACTAGTCTCGTTCACCCTAAAATGAATTTAAGACTTTTTTTTTAAGTTTGTAACTTATGAAAGATAAAATTTTAAGTGGTACAAAATTAATTTTACTTGCAATCGAATTATTTTCCCTCACTAATAAACAGTGTGTATTGGGCGTATAATGAAGGTTTCTACATAGGTTGAGTTATTTTTTCAATCAATAATTATATTGAAAACTGAAAACTCAAAAGAGTACAATCGAGGTGTCAACTGACACCACAGAAACAATAACAAAGTATGGACCTACCCCCTTGGAATTACACAGGTAACCAAGAGGGTACAAACTCCATAAAGGAGATACAAACACCTGTAAAACAAAAGGTCCATGCATAAAGGAGACACAAACTCCATATAGGAGACTAAAAGCTATACGCGGCTGGACTAACAAAACGCATAATAGAAAATGAACAAAAAACAACACATACCTAAAAAAACAAATAGAATAATTCTCTCCCTAAACTTTGCAGGCAAAATGCACAACCACCCAATATGACACCCGAGCCAACCCCGCAGCACAGAATCCTACAAGAAATTACACATATTATGACTTATGTGACGAAAAAAAATCGTCACAATTGGCTATATTATGGTGACAAATTATTAAAATCGTCACTAAATCATTGCATACAGTGACGACTACTACATTCGTCATCTTCGAATTTGGTTTTCATCACATAATCATAAATTTCATGACAATACATCTAAATCCGTCGCCTCTACATCTAAATTCGTCACGTTTATTTAAAAAGTGACAAAATTCCATGTGACAAATTAAATGTCTTCGTTTTTTTTTTATTTACTATGACGTTTAGGACTAATTCGTCATTATATAATTTTGTATTGTGACGATATATTACAATACATATAGATTCGTCATAGTAATACATATCATGACGAAATTCAATGCGACACAATAAAGGTCGTCATTTATTTTTGGTATTTACAATGACGATTACGACTAATTCGTCATTATATAATTTTGTATTGTGACAATATTTTACAATACATCTGAATTCGTCACAGTAATACATACTATGACGAAATTTAATGCGACAAGTTAAATGTCGTCGTTTATTTGGTAATTACAATGATGCTTACGACTAATTCGTCATTATATAATTATGTATTGTGACGATATATTATACTACATCTAAATTCATCACAGTAATACATATTATTACACAATTTAATGCGACAAAATAAATGTCATCGTTTTTTTGTTGTTTTGTAATTGCAATGACGGTTACGACTAATTCGTTATTATATAATTCTGTATTGTGATGATATATTATAATACATCTAGTTTTTCAAGTTTTCAAATTGCAGTCACCAAACAATTTATAGCTTCTGCTACAATTGACAATGCATTTTAATACATTATATATTTCATTTCATATTCTAAAAGCCGTCCTTTTGTGCTAGTAAAGAAAAGTAGGAAGAAATGTGTGAGTTTTTTGCATCGCCTAAATTCAAGGTAATGCATTGTAACATTATTCTTTATTTGCATATTAAATGTGTAGTTTTCATATTTTTAGTTTTCTAATGTTCAATATCTGTTTTTACGTTTTGGCAGCACCAAAGTTTTATTAATGGGATGAATCGACAAATGATGCATGCTCCACATGTTTCGGGTCGAACACCTTTTACTGTTTTTCAACATGAAATAGTAAGTTTATGTTCAAGATATTAATTTATTTATGTTCATTTTTTTAATTTAAACTATTTATGTTTATTGTTAAAAATTCTTGTAGTCTGAGATAGAGATGAATGGAAGACCACTAGATATGATTAAAATTTATAAGCGTACGCATTACAAGGAAAAAGGTGGTTGGTCAACAAAAGAGGCAAAAGAAAACTGGGTAAGTTGCATGCACAATCTCTTATTCTAATTGTTGAAATGAATATCAATATAATTATATAGTTTTTATTGGTATTTGTCAGGACTTGATGATATCAAGAAGAGAAAAATATTCTGAACAAGGCACTGAGAAGAGTGCACAAGATATACTTCTCGAGGTTCTTGGCCATGCAGCTGGATATATAAAAGGTTATGGGTATGGCCCAAGGCCGCCAAGTAGATGCAAAGCATATGACTCGAATGGCCAGAAGGAACTTCTAGAGATACAAGAAAAGCTGCGTGGAAAAGAATCTGAAGTACTTGAGCTTAAGGACCAAGTTAGTGATTTGAAAGATCAACTAAGTCAACAAGGTGCAAAAGTTGACAAACTTATGGCTTTCATGGCTGCCACTGGGATCCAAATATGAGATTGTTAGGCTTTGTTATTATTATTATTATTATTATTATTATTATTATTATTATTATTATTATTATTATTATTATTATTTTATTTGGCACATTTTGAGATTGTTAGTTCGTTTATTTATGTTTTTAATTAGCAAAATTACTAATATTGTCCTTTTTTTATTTATCATCTAGAACATATTACCATCATATATTAATTATAAAGATTTTGTCACTGAATTTTCTTTTTAATGACATAATTGTTTAGAGTGACAATAGATTTTGTCACTGTATCATATATTTCATGACAAATAAATTTATCACTAAATATCTGCAATTAATGACAATTATTATATTTGTAATAGTGACAAATTTTAAATTGTCATTGAAAATAATATTTTTTTGACAACATGTAGTCGTGATGTATTTGTTTGGATTTGTCACCATATAAAATGTTCAAATGATAATAACTTTTGTCACTAAATATTTACCTTTTCATGACAACTTATGGTGTCATTATATCTCAAGCTTTTGATGACAATCATTTCTTTCGTAATCATAAAGCTAATATTTCATGACAAAAGGTCTCGTCACTTTTATATGTTTTTGGAGACGATGAATATTTCGTCACTACTTCTATTTTTTTGTGACACTTTTGTTATTATCATATTGAAATTTTCTTTTTGTGACGATCAATATTTTGTAATATAAACAACTCTTTGATGACGAATTCTATGACATATGACTATTATTTTAACGAAAACGCCATAAATATATTTGTCATTGAAGTTTTATAAATTTGATAAAAAAAAATAAAATTCATCACTAAACAATAATACTTAGATGACAAAGGTAAGTTTTCGTCCTTTAAAACTCGTCTTTTTATGACAAACTAATCGTTTATATGACAAAATTTTCATAATAAACGTGATGAAATTATTATCACGAAAAGTAATCAAATAACATGACGAATCTTAAAAACGTCATTAAAAGTGAAACATTTGGTGACAAATTCGAAATTTGTTATCTATACCTAATATGACGCGGCTACGGTGACAATCGCTTTGATGATAAAATTTCGTCATCATTGTACTATTGTGACGAAAAATTGGTTTATATGACGCAATTTTTCGTCATGTTTTGCGAAATTTGTTGTAGATAACAGAGCTACAAACCAAAATTACAGAAAAACTGCGATCAAACTCGATTCGCCTAGACAAATCAGGCAAGTAGGAGATTCTAAGTCCAGACCTGAACTCCAAAGATCTTCAACGCCGAAGGTGAGAGCCACCAGGAAGAACGGCTTCGGCGGGAAGAACCGCCACCGCCAAGGCCAAAGAAAAGCACACAACCACCGAGAGCTCCCGCCTCCACAAACGAAATCGTCGTTGGTCTAAAATTAAATAACCGTAGAGCCTAAACTCCGCCTGAATCCTTAACCCTAACACCATGGGAATTGAATGTCCTCGTAAATTAATGAGCAAAGGCTTGAATTGCGACTGAACGAGTGGAACGAGGAGAAGTAGCCAGGCTACTCCCGGCCTGCGAGAGGCCGGAGGAGGGAAAAAAGGCACGGCAACCCCAACCCTAGCCGGCGAGAGGACGGCGCAGCGAGTTCGGCGACTAATGACACTCCCCACACGGCTAAAATTTGGGCGGAGAACCGAGAAAGATAGAGAGGTCGAATCAAAAACCACAAATAAGAGTGAACTTTTACTTACGGATAAGTAATTATTTATCATAAAACCACAATTAATTGCAAAATATACATATTTTCTGTGGCTTTTATTTGTAAATGAAACTAGTCAATCATATCATGACAACTCATAACCCGCGCGAAAATTGTTGGCAGCTTTGTTGGAAAATAACATGTAGTTGGCGTCATTTCCCACCGAGAGCTAAGCATAGTTTAATTACTTAACTAATGAAGTATTTTATTCTCTCTTTCCCCATTACATTATGTGCCATTTGTTTATAATCGTGTATCATGACACAACTGTTGTGTATGTGTCAATGTAATGCGCCATTTGTTTATAATCATATATCATGATACAACTGTTGTGTATGTGTCATGGGGCCAAACAGGATACATTGTTTGAAGCTTGTTTGAACTTATTCCATAGTTGAGGGGTTTGTTAGAATTAATTCAACTAAGGCTCAGTTTGGTTGCCCATATTGGGCTTGATATCCTTCATTTATTATTATATCAACACATTTAACTTGTTTGGTTCAGATAGAAAAAGACTATGATATAGCTTTGGGCCCGTTTTTTTCTCCCCATTTATGCTATTACATATCTGAGCTTTGGCTTCGGATACCATATCAGTGCGTTTAACGCGGAGGAGGTAAATGTCGTAATTACTCCTTATATATTGAAAATGTACGGAAAAAATTTATCGTTATCATTTCTCCATCCCTCCTTGTAGGGATGAAAATGGAAACGGTAATTTCCGATTACCGAGAATCGTTTTCGAAATTTTTTCGGATTTGGAGGCTAAACGGAAACGGTAACGGTAACCGGAAAAACGGAAATGAAAACGGTAAAAAAATTCGAAAATGAAAACGAAAACGGTTTAGCCCTTTTCCGATCGTTTTCGAAAATTACCGTATTTAAACGGTATTTTACCGTCGGTAATACCGGCCCAACTCATACTAGGCTCACTTTTAATTATAAAGCCCAATCCAAATCCCAAATGGGCCAAATGCCCAAATCCCCTTCAGCCCAACCCTGTGCCCAAATCTTGAAATCCCCTTCACCCCTTTCCGTCTTCACTCTCGAAATCGTGAAATCCCCTTCAGCCCAACCCTGTCATCTCTTCCATCGGCCAACGGCCATCGCAATTCGTCGCGCCTGCTCGTCGTCACTCCCGTCACCTGCTCGTCGCCGCCGCGCCCCACTCCCATCAACGTCGCAACCGCACCACCCGCTACAGGCTCCAGCTGCCGCCGCCTACCCCACTTTGAATTCACTCCATGAGAATTTGATGGACAAGTCACAATCCAATTGCTAGTTATTGAAATTTGTATGGATTTTGTTATAGCAAATGGTGTGGATTTTAATTTGGATTTTGCCACTATTATGCCGTGAGAATATTTCAATTTATGTTTTAATGCTATATTTTATAATGTGGTGTGTTTATCGTTTTTTAAATACCGTTTTAATATATTTCGATCGTTATCGATGTATTTTCGATCGGATAGTTTCGTTTTCGATATTACCGGAATACCGATGTCGTTTCCGTTTCCGACATTATCGTATCATTTTCGTTTTCGAGAAAAAAATATGAAAGTGGAAATGGTTGAGCCCTATGCCGATCGTTCCCGATCGTTTTCATCCCTACCTCCTTGGAACTTCAGAAAACCCTAGCGAGAGATAGACTACACAGAGATCTACTCACCCTCGTCATCTTCTCCCTCATCCCATCATTTTGATCTTTAATGACAGTATGCACCGATTGGAGATGTAAATAGAACGGCGTTTCCAACTGCTTGTACTCTTACCACGACAATAACCATTAAAATCGATAGGGTTTCTCTGACTGAGTATATCTATCTAAGTTTACATTCAAAATTATCTGAAAATCTAACCATCTTTCCATCTGCACGAATTTGTTGTCAACTTTTCTATTATACTCATTTTTTTTTTTCATTTTTTTAAGGGGTTTCTCAGGCGGACTGTTATTTATGACTGATCGGAGAAGATTGAATTGGGGGATGGAGAAAAATAAGAACTGCCCTGATTTGCTAGCGAAGGTAAACAATTGTGAAAAAATCAATAAACCTTTTCCCCCCTTTCAAACCTATTATGTTGATATGTCAAATCATTATGCAAGTTATGGGCGAAATGAATGGCTGAGAAATAAGTGCTGGTAAAATGTTAAACCTCAATTGGGTTTGATTGTTGTTTGGTATTTCTATGTACTACATACGAATTATGCGAAGATCGGCTTATGTGATGGTGTAGGTGTTATTTTCGAAACTATAGTTTGTGTGAATTTCATTTTTCTGCTCTGCATTTGAATAATAAATTTCAATTATTAGGATGAGGGAAACTACGAATGTGATCATTTCTCCATCCCGTCGTTCTGTTTCAGCCACCACCATCCGTCGGAGACAAAACCTACCGAATTTTGGGATAAATTAGGAAGATTCTTTTCTTCTACTTGTTGCGGAGGATTATAAATTAAATGGTGCCGCCTTTGAAATGTTGAAGAAATCTGAATCCAAACCCAACATGAGGAAGCACCAGAGGTTGTCTAAGATCTTAGACGTGCTAAGCCTAATAGAAACAACCCCAACAAAGCTCTTTCGCAAGTGTAGTTGTCTCACAAGGCTGAAGATGATGCCCCTAACTTCCCCCGAGGTTTGCTCTCTCACTTTGTCATAGTTATGGATGCAAGTTGGGCATATTCTTTTTTTATCCAGTTAGTAAATTTTCATGAACTATGTTTACGGTTAACATCGTTATACTTTGGTTTTAGTTCAATCTCCTAAGTTTGTATGTTTGGTCGAAGACAAAAGATATTAACAATAAGGTAATGCTTGGTTTAGCTAATTTTAGGATCAGGCGAGCTAAATGATTACTTGCTATCTCTCAGTTTGATAGATTAAGGTTGATTTTGTTAGGAAATAAAATTGTAGTCATTACATCTTTTATTTTTTTATTAATTTTTTTTCTTGTACTGATTTGTTTAGAAATCACACGTATCTTTACAAGGTTATTCATTCTATTTAGAAGAAAATGATTTGTTTTTTTTTTTCTACTATCATATCTTATATCTATCCACTTGTTTGATAATTGTAGTCCCACAGTGATTTTTGTGCTTGCAAGTGATTTTTGTGTTTGCAAATGTCAACTTCTGTTTATTTTTGTGTTTAGAACCAAAGAGAATTTTAGTATAATATTTTATTCTGCATCCGAATTGGAATTTTACAAACAAATAAGCACTTTTACAAATTATGCTTCAACAACAAATAAAATCACCTCCTTGATTTTTCTTGACATACTGGTAAAGGGCATTTGAAAAAACCCTTGAGCTTTGCGTTTTCTTGACATATTTTATCCCCTACTGGTTATGTATTCTGTATATTAGATTTAAACATTAAGAATGTTTTCTTTCATTCTTTTTTTTTTTTTTAATTCTATGAGGTGTTGGTTAAATCTTAGATGCATTTTCAGTAATTTAACACTTTAAATTTCTAATTTTATGTCACTATTTCAACAGTGGACTGATTTTAAAGTTGCAGATAATTGGACAACGGGTGACATTTCAGCTTATATGAATCATGCTTTTGGTTTATGACATTAAACTTACACCTCACAAATTCAGCGAGCCTACATCAAAGGTGGAATTAGTGAAAAATTCGTGTAGTTACTCATATATTGTCTACCTGCTAATAAATAGTTTTTTTTTAAAAAAAAATATTCTTTCTTTGACATTTTTTCTGGATCAGTTGTAGATGTGACAAAGAGCAATGATCAATGTATGAAAATGTATCTACATCTTCGAAAAAAGAATTAAAAGAAAAATCAATGTATGAAGATGTATTTCGTATACTTATCCATTTTTTTACAACACATTTTCGATTAAGTGGAATAATACTTGATACTTGATAATTGTAGTATTTGCTATTTTTACTACAAATCTTGGCTGTTGTGTTTTGTACAACAGAATTTGACATTTTTTGAAGATGGGCTTTATATTTTAGACTTCTTGTACTTTTTTTTTCTTATTATTATTGCCACATGATATTCTTCCTATTTTTGGGGTTCAAATTTATTTTTAAAAATTATCATAAATTTAATATTCAATTGCATTATAACTAGTAGTGTGCAAGTTAATGCTTAATAAAAACTGAACTACAAACGAAAAGTAAATATGTTTGAGGAGAGAGAAGATGAGACTAATATTGGAAAAGCATATTTTATTACATTTTGTACAAGTTTAACCAAACAAGTTAATAGCTTAATGGGTTGGATAACAACCACTACCCATTATTAACCAAACAAGTGTATAAGAGGGATACAATAAGTTGGAAACCTTCTAAAACCGGATATGATAATATCATGCACAATACCTAATTTCAACCAAACGCACCCTTAAGATAAATTTATCGACCAGAAGTTACTAATCCAGACTATATTAACAAGCAAGTGAGGTATAGTATCATGGATTAACGTAACCCTTCACTTCAAGAGCCTAAATAATCTCTCTCAAGAAAGTAATCAGCCTATCATTCAAGTTGCATATTCTTTTTGAGTTGGAAGCAGGAGAGTATTGAATATCAATAACCATTGTTATCTTTCCACCTTGAAAGCTGTCAGCATCAACATCAGCATCGACATCACCCTTTCGTTCGTCTTTGGGAGAGTGTTGCAGTGAAAGGTGTGTGACAGTGGCCTTTCTTCATAAAATAATCTGCAATAAGATATTTTACCGATTAAGTTAAACCAATACTTAATTGAAATTATAGCATACACCAACGAAAATAAAATGGCTTTAATACAGATGTGTCCTGAACAATATCATCCATGACTTCACTTTAATCAGCTTATTAAATAACAGGAACAAATAACAAGAAATGTAACTGAAAGCCTGCGTGATTTGGCTGATTCAAATAATGTGATGGTAACCGGTGGCTGTCTCCATCGCTGATAATAATTAGTTGTTAGCTACTTAGCTTATGGTTGATTTTAATTTTTAAATGACTTCTTTATAAAATGAGTTAATACAATAGTTGATTACATGAAAACTTAGGTTAATTCAACAATATAGACATGCTTGTAATTTTACTTTACTTTATCATAAAATTAAGAAAAATATATAAAGTTGATATCAACGGTTATTTCCTCAAAAATCCCTAACCCACATTTCCATTTCCTTCTCAGTCTCCAGCACTTTATTTCTTCCTTTCAACTCCCTAATACTAATTTATCTTTCCTCCCAACTCCCCATATAAATACAATTAGAGTAGAATACTCGGCGTTCCAATCTGATTGGATATATTTCTACTTTTAAAGACAATTTACTGGAAATTATATTATTTTTAGGCATAGTTTTATCTTATGTTTTGCATTTATCCTATATTTGCACATATGATAAAGTCCTTAGATCATTATTAGCTATGAGGCATGGTTGCGCATTTGATGGCAATCATGGAACATGTCTTTAAAGCTGTGATTTTAAATAAGTTCCAAGTCGATGGGTATTTGGAGACAGGACATCGAATAACCCGGTAAGACTTGTGCATATGATGTATGCTCATCGGATGAGAATGTTGCATTCCATCAACATTAGCGTGTGGACGCGAATGCATATATGCGGGTGCTTGTTGGAGAACAAGTTCACTGAACATGACCCGATGAAACTTCTTAACTGGAAGTTTTTAACTGTCGAATAAGAATTTTCATGTTGCAATAGTACATGATTGATCCTCTAACTTGAGGCACGATAGTAATCTTGTGCATGTTGTGCTTTACTTTGATTTATCCTTTGGTTGCTGGACAATCATAAAAGGGATATTTTGGGTACTGTATTAATATGCATGGAGATTTATCGGTGGCCAACAAAGAATTCGACACTTATGTGGATAAGTGAATTTCCTATGTTTTTCATAGTTTGTGATTCAAAGACCTTGGCCAAGGCGAGATGAATATGAATTCATAAAGGAATCACTAAACTTGAAATAGAATCATAGTTATTAAATCAATTGGGTTTCGAATAATAAATCTAGGCCCAAGATTTAATCGGGAAATTAGTTGTCGAAAGGATTTTACATGTATGCACTTGCAATTGAAAAGGTTTACTCGCTATTTCACTTAACACTAGATAATCATACTACTTGCTAGGTATTCCCATGATTTGTGGGTTCTTGAAATTAAGGAGTTAATTTCAAGAATATAAATTAATTATATTAATTACAAATGAGTTGTAAATCCACTACTAGTGTTAATCGTGAACCTAAAAGGGTCACACCAAATTTTGGATGATGACAATTTTGGAATTGGTATTTCCAATAGTTGGATTTTTGACAAGACTTAATTAAATAATTTGATTATTTAATTAAATATAATTTTTATTAGATGTCAATTAAAAGAATAAAAGAAATTAATCAATTGGATTGATTAATTAGGCTTTGGATATTAATTAAGTAATTATTGGAATTACTAAATTAATAGTTAAATTTTAAAGTTGGACTTTAAAATTTCAAATCCAAATATTAATATGATTATTTATTAAAAGCCTACATAAAAGAGGAGATTTTATTTTTATGGGAGATAAGATTTTGACAAATTAATTTTGAAAGTTAGTTTCATAAATTATATGTCATTATCTTTTATTAATCTTTAATTAAGATTAAAGATTAAAATAAATAATAAGAATATTTGCCAATTGTTGGTCAACTAATGCACATGTATTTGAACATGTCATTTAATAAAAATTGGTGGATGTTATACCTAATAAAGACATATATATATTGAAAAACAAATTGGGTGGAATATTCCAACCCATACTACATTTTATATGCATAATGTTTTTCGTATATATATAATATATATGTACATATGAGATGTACCAAAAAATAACACCACCCAAGTTCATTCACGAGAATGAAAAACAAGTTCTCTCAATTTTGAAGAAAGAGAGCAATAGTTGTTTTGTCTTTTTTAAAGAAAAAAAAAATCTTTTCTCATTTTTATTCTTATATCAATTGAACACCGGGAAATTTCTACTAGCGAAAAAATTATTCTCGGAGTCGGGATCCAAATGGGTGGACTCGGTTAGAGGGGAGACACTTGGATCCCTTACAGAGTAATAAGACAGTGATAGCCACATAACCGGGAATTGATTTTCTCTTCATCGTCACTGTTTGAAGAAAATAAAAGGTAATTTTCGAAATTCTCTACAAATCAAAATTTGTATTTTTACGTGATTTTAAAAGATGCCGATCATTTTATTCGCTATATGTACTTACGGATTAAGTATTTATTTGATTAATGATAATTATATTGTATAATTTCCGCTGCGATTTTAATCCGTACAGTATAGCGAACCTAACAGTGGTATCAGAGCCACGGTTTGCTTCTTTAAAATCAGATTTTGATTTGTTTATGTTTATATGATAAACATATTTAATTATTATATCTTATTTATTTTGTGTGTGATAAAATTGTTTTATGTGGTTTGATGTTTGTGATTAATTAAATATAATCAAATGTTGATTATATGTAAGTGATACTGTAAGAGTTCATGGTGTAAATTAATATTCACAAATGAAATTTGCAAGACATTTTCATTTGCAAGACATTTTCACATGAAGAGTTCATGGTCCAGTAGAGAATTTGATTCTCTCCTCTTATTAAAAACTTGTGAGTTGGACATGTTCTGCCAACCCCACATCACCCATAAAGATGGGATTTACTAGAGTATTTTGGTGGTGCAATTATTTGCACACCACATGGTGCCTTTAATAATAATAATAATAAAATAAAATAAATATTATTTATGTATGGCTGATGGGGAAGAGTGTGACATTTGATTATATAATAGAGAATCGGATTCTCTAGTAAATTTATTTTAAAAAAAAATTATAATCAAGTGGTTGTCCCACATGTCCCTTTTGTATATACATTTTGTTTTGGGAATGCATATATAGCCGTGCAATATAATAAATATATATTATATATGTATTTGATACATATTGGGAATTGGGTGATTAGAATTACACTAACTCTTCCATTATAATTGCGAGAAGCATCAGATGCTCTTGGCAATGTATTAATATATATATTTATATATATATATATATATAGGGAATGGTTCAGATGCGCCCCATTTTTAAAAGTGAGGACGTGAGACCTGATCTGGTCCGTTCACCACTCATCTAATCTAACGTTCAGAATTAATTTAGTACATTAATCGATATTTCTGATTTCGCGGGCGGTACGTCTTCAGAACTCTCTACTCTACTTTCCCTCTCCATTTTCGCACTTGCTCGTTGTTTCTGTTCCATTCTCTTCCATTTTCGATTTCGATTTCGATTTCTCGGGCGTTACGTGTCAATTTCTGTTTCCGTTTTATCCTTCGTAGTCTATTCTCGCAGATTCTCTGCGATTTCGCTGATTCTCGTCTTAAATTGGTGAGTATTTTTGCTGTTGTTTTTGTTTGTAATAACTTTTTCGATTTAGGTTTTTCATTCTTTCATTTAATAGATTAAAGTAATATGTTTCGTTTATTTTTTGCTAAGTTAGCTGTCTGATACTGCTAGGTTAGTGTATGATGTTGCTAGGTTAGTTATATTTGCTGCTAGGTTAGTTGTCTGATGGTGCTAGGTTAGTTACCTGTAGCTGATATGTTGGTTGTCTGATGTTGCTAGCTTAGTTGTCTTTTTGCATCTAGGTTAGTTGTCTTTTGCTGCTAGGTTAGTTGTCTGATGCTGCTATGTTAGTTGTCTGATGTTGCTAGGTTAGTTGTCTTATGCTGCTATGTTAGTTGTCTTATGCTGCTAGGTTAGTTGTCTTTTGCTGCTAGGTTAGTTGTCTTTTGCTGCTAGGTTAGTTGTCTGATGCTGCTATGTTAGTTGTCTGATGTTGCTAGGTTAGTTGTCTTATGCTGCTATGTTAGTTGTCTGATGTTGCTAGGTTAGTTGTCTTTTGCTGCTAGGTTAGTTGTCTTCTGCTGCTATGTTAGTTTTCTTTTGCTGCTAGGTTAGTTGTCTTTTGCTGCTAGGTTAGTTGTCTGATGCTGCTATGTTAGTTGTCTGATGTTGCTAGGTTAGTTGTCTTATGCTGCTATGTTAGTTGTCTTATGCTGCTAGGTTAGTTGTCTTTTGCTGCTAGGTTAGTTGTCTTTTGCTGCTAGGTTAGTTGTCTGATGCTGCTATGTTAGTTGTCTGATGTTGCTAGGTTAGTTGTCTTATGCTGCTATGTTAGTTGTCTTATGCTGCTAGGTTAGTTGTCTTTTGCTGCTAGGTTAGTTGTCTTTTGCTGCTAGGTTAGTTGTCTGATGCTGCTATGTTAGTTGTCTGATGTTGCTAGGTTAGTTGTCTTATGCTGCTATGTTAGTTGTCTGATGTTGCTAGGTTAGTTGTCTTCTGCTGCTAGGTTAGTTGTCTTCTGCTGCTATGTTAGTTGTCTGATGTTGCTATGTTAGTTGTCTTTTGCTGCTATGTTAGTTGTCTTTTGCTGCTATGTTAGTTGTCTGATGCTGCTATGTTAGTTGTCTGATGTTGCTAGGTTAGTTGTCTTATGCTGCTATGTTAGTTGTCTGATGTTGCTAGGTTAGTTGTCTTCTGCTGCTAGGTTAGTTGTCTTCTGCTGCTATGTTAGTTGTCTGATGTTGCTATGTTAGTTGTCTGATGTTGCTATGTTAGTTGTCTTTTGCTGCTATGTTAGTTGTCTTTTGCTGCTATGTTAGTTGTCTGATGTTGCTATGTTAGTTGTCTGATGTTGCTAGGTTAGTTGTCTTATGCTGCTATGTTAGTTGTCTTATGCTGCTAGGTTAGTTGTCTTTTGCTGCTAGGTTAGTTGTCTTTTGCTGCTATGTTAGTTGTCTGATGTTGCTATGTTTTTTTTTTTTTATTTTTTTTTTATTTTTATTTTTTTTAACAAACAACGCCCCGGGAGGGCGGGGGATTGGGCTGGATCCCCAACCTGTGCATAGATCAAGACCCCCAAAACGGTGGCCAAAATAATCAACAGTCTACAAGGTCTCACAAGCAAAACAAATAAAATAAAATACAGAGTCTGTCTACGGGCTAACAGGTGCCCTAAAATGATAATGAAAATGCGAATCTAATCAAATAACAATAAAAACCTAATCTACTGAAAGCGGAAAGATGGATATCCAAGTTGGTCCATCCGAACAAGCGTGCGAAGGCGGAGTGGAGCAGTGTCTGTCTGGAACGTATTTGTATCGGGTATGGTGGCACCAAGGCTGGCAAGGTAGTCAGCAGGTCTGTTCCCCTCACGGAAAATATGCGTAATCCTGTGATGGACTGACCGAAGTAGATCTCTAATGCGCATAAGCGGATATGTTAGTTGTCTTCTGCTGCTAGGTTAGTTGCCTTCTGCTGCTAGGTTAGTTGTCTTCTGCTGCTAGGTTCCAATAATCAAATCATCCTAGGGAGTACACTCCCTATCAATAATCCAGAAGTCAATAATAAAGAAAACAGTAATAGCAATATTCAATTTTTGGCGGAAGTAATATCAATTATTAAGACCACCACTCACATCCCTTCGTCGTGCCAGCAATACTAACCTGGTATCTGTAGAAAGAAGTCACAGAAAATCGAGGGAAAAAGGTAGGCCGAGGACATAGCTCGTCAAACACCTTCAACAGAGGTAAAAAAAAAAATGGAGGGAATGAAGGCTCGGCTGCCGAAAGTTGAGGTTTAAGTTGCGACTAAAGGGACCTGCTCTCGGCCGATGACGGATGATCGAACGAGAGGACCGAAACCACGTCGAGCACTCGGTGGCTGCTCGTTTGAATTACACCGGTTAAGGGTTCACGTGGACGGAGGGTTTGCGAACAGATTGCTGGGAGATCGACGACGAACTTGCTGCAACTCTCGGTAGTGACGGACTTCAAAGCGGCTCGCATTGGCTGAACGGACACGGAGCGACTACGCTTGGCACTCCGACGGAACTCGACGGTTACGTTTGGCACGCCTGACGGGACACGGTGTTGATGACAGCGTTCGAGAGCGGGGCTGAAGCTCGCTGGGGCTCGCGAGCGGGGTGTGATCAATGGCTTGCACACGACTTGGCTCCTCGCGATCACGTAGGGGCTCCTCGGTAGCAGCACAGGACAGCAAGCGATGGACGGTGGCTGTTAGGCAGCGACACCACGCGTGAGCAGGACTGGTCGGGATGAACGAGAATACACGAACGGGGTAAGGACGATGGAAGCGATCGACGGGGGTGTCACTGCAAACGGGTGCACAGCTCCCTACTCCGACAGGGCGTACTCGGCCGTTACTCGCGTTGGGGGAAAAGTTGAGGTAGTGCTCGATCGTGGCAAAGAGTGGCCTGCTGTTCGGAGAATATGGCAACACGAGGTGGTTCCTCCTCTTAGTTGAATGCGCAAGGACAGATAGCAAGGGCTAAGGAAATCGACTTGTTGGTTCACGCGAAACCCCAGCGATGGCGGGACTTATCGGAAAACGACCGCCGCTCGACGGCAGAGGGCAGTGCGACCACCAGCGGGAATCTGTTGCTGCTCAGTTCACGGCGCGCGGCCTGCCGGTTGACATCGGATCGCGAGAGAGAGCGAGAGTTGAGGGATATCGATGATGATGATGGCCGGATTTTGCGATGGTGCTGGTGCGGATTTATGATGGTGGTGATCGGAGGTGGGGTATGTGTTGGGTTCGCTAGTACCGTACGGGCTGTATGCAGCGGAATTTAAAATTTTAAAAATTAAGTATTTATCGTATAAATACTATACCCGTACATACTAATAGCGAATTAACAGATCGTTATCTTTAAAACATGCATCATATACAAATTTTGATTTGTTACTATAAAGTAAATATCAGTATAAAATATTTACCGTATATCTTGAACTCCTTCAACTATGATGTGGATTGTGGGAATCGGTTCCCGGTTGTAACTTCAACAACTTGAGGTTACTCGCTAGAGGAATCCAAGTGTCTTCCCTCTAAACGTATCCACCCTATGAAGCCCGGTTCCGACGACTTTCCTTCGCTAGTAGAAAAGACTCGGTTTTCTTATATAGGAATTTATATGAATTTATTTTGGGAAATTATCAAGAACACTTTCTTGTTTTTGTGAAGAACTTTTCTTCTCTTTCTAACACTTTAGAAACTTAGCCAAAATCAAATTAGCAAATGCAAAACCATTTTGCATCTATTTATACTAAACATTTTAGCATAAAATAATCAACATTTAGTAATATTTAAATAAAATCAAATTTTATTTAAATAGTATTTACTAACTTTTGACTTTGAAAATAATAAGATATGTTAAGTAGTTCAAACAACCATCAACAACCATTTTATTATAATCATATTTATTATTTTAATCCTTAAATCATATTTAAAGATATAAATAATAATTGGATAATAAATCTTGAGAATCTTTCTCAAGACTTTATTATTATATCATTTTCCCAATATTATAATAATCATATTATTATTATTTTGGATTTTTGAAATTTAAAATCCTATTTTAAAATTCAACTTTATTAATTTAGTAATTACCTTAATTACTAAAGTAATATCCAAAATGTAATTAATCAATCTTATTGATTAATATATTCCTTTAATTGATATCTAATCAAATTAGATATTTATCAATTAATTCTAACCATTAGAAATACAATCTTTACCTTTGTTCATAATTAGTGTGACCTTTTAGGTTCACCTTAATACTAGTAGTGGGTTTACAACACTTTGTAATTTGAGTTAAATCTTATTAACTCTTATTCATGAATTAACCCTTTAATTTATGAACCCACATATCATGGTAACACCTAGCAAGTAGCATGAATCTAGTATTAAGTGAATAGCGAGTAAACCTATTCCGATTACAACTCCATACATGTAAAATCCTTTCGACATCTAATTTCCCGATTAAGTCTTGGGTATGATTTTGTCGAAACCCAAATTGACTTAATAACTATGATTCTATTTCATGTTTATTAACCCGGTTATGAATCACTATTCATCTCTGCCTTGGCCAAGGACTTTGGATTAATAACTATGAAACACATAGGAAATTCACTTATCTTCATAAGTGTCGAATCCTTTATTGGCCACTAACAAACTTCCATACATATTAACATAATACCCAACTTATCCCTTTAAACGATAGTGCTAGCTACCAAAAGGATAAATCAAAGTAGAATGTAATATGCACAAAGTTACCATTGTGCCTCAAGTCTTAGGATTAGTCATGTACTATTGTAACATGAAAATTCTTATTCGACTGAATAAATTCTTCATTAAGAATTTTCATACGGTCATGTTCAGTGAACTTGTTCTCTAACAAGCACCCACATAAATGTACTTACGTCTTACGCTAATGTTGATGGAATGCAACATTCTTGTCCAACAAGCATACAAACTATGTGCAAGTCTTTTATGGATTATTCGATATCCCATCTCGAAACATCCATCGACTTGGAACTGTATTTAAGATCACGGCTTTCAAGGTATGTTCCATGATCACCATCTCTATGCGCAACCATACCTTATAACCATAAGTGATCTAGGGATTTTATCTTAAGTGCAATTATAAGATAAATGCTTTCTCTTAAGATAAAGAAATGCCTTATTCATAATATAATTCCAATAGACTGTATTTACAAGTAGAATACGTCCAATTAGATTGGAACGCCGGGTACCCTACTCTAACAATCTCCCACTTGCCCTAGTTCCAATCACTCATGTATCTAAGACCCATCTTCTCAAGATGTCCTTCGAACACTTTCTGTGATAAGGGTTTAGTTAAGGGGTCTGCTATATTTTCTGCTGAGTCGACTCGCTCCATCACGACATCGCCTCTACCAATGATTTCTCTAATCAAATGGTATCGCCTCATAATGTGTTTGGATTTTTGATGAGATCTTGGCTCCTTTGCTTGCGCAATAGCCCCATTGTTATCACAATAAATCATTATTGGATCAACAACGGATGGTACTACACCCAACCCTTGGATAAAGTTCCTTATCCAAACAGCTTCTTTTGCAGCATCAGATGCAGCAATATATTCAGCCTCTGTCGTAGAGTCAGCAATTGTTTCTTGTTTGGAACTTTTCCAACTAACTGCTGCTCCATTCAGAGTAAATAAGTATCCAGACATGGATTTATAGTCGTCTTTATCGGACTGAAAACCAGAATCAGTAAAGCCTTCTAGTTTCAGTTCTCCATTGCCGTATACCATAAAGATATCCTTAGTCCTTCGTAAGTACTTAAGAATCATCTTAACGGCTTTCCAGTGTTCTTCACCTGGATTAGACTGATATCTGCTCGTTACACTAAGTGCATGAGCCACATCAGGTCTTGTACATAACATTGCATACATAATGCTACCAATAGCTGATGCATAAGGTATATGACTCATCCGTTCTCTTTCTTCAGGTGTCTTTGGAGACATCGTCTTAGAAAGAGAAATCCCATGACTCATTGGAATATATCCTCGTTTGGATTCTTCCATGCTAAACCGTTGTAGCACCTTATTTATGTACGTCGACTGGGATAGTCCGATCATCCGTTTAAATCTATCCCTATAGATTTTTATCCCTAGGATAAAGGATGCTTCTCCCAAGTCTTTCATGGAAAACTGTTTTGACAACCATGTCCTAGTTGACTGCAACATCCCTACATCATTCCCAATGAGTAGGATGTCATCAACATATAGAACAACAAATGTAACTGCACTCCCACTAACCTTCTTATAAACACATGGTTCATCCGGATTCTTATGAAAATCAAACGTTTTGATCGTTTCATCAAACCGAATATTCCAACTCCTCGAAGCTTGTTTAAGTCCATAAATAGACCTTTGAAGTTTACAAACCATTTGTTCACTCCCATTGGATATGAAACCTTGCGGTTGTTTCATATAAATGTCTTCCTTAATATTTCCATTAAGAAAAGCAGTTTTCACATCCATTTGCCATATCTCGTAGTCATAATACGCAGCTATGGCTAGCAATATCCGAATAGATTTAAGCATTGCTACTGGTGAAAAAGTTTCCTCATAATCAACACCTTGTTTTTGAGTATAACCTTTAGCAACCAGTCTTGCTTTAAAAGTATTTACTTCTCCATCTACACCACGTTTTCGCTTGTAAACCCATTTACAACCTATGGGTACAATACCCTGTGGTGGATCAACCAAAGTCCATACTTTGTTTGAATACATGGAATCTATTTCGGATTGCATAGCTTCTTGCCATTTATCTGAGTCAATGTCCAACATTGCCTCATCATAGCTTATTGGATCATTATCCAAAAGGAATCCCTCTTCATTGTCTTTTGACAATAGGTATAGCCTTTCAGGCGCCCTAGAAACCCTTTCGGATCTCCGAAGAGGTTGTGTTTTAGATGGTCCAGTCTCTACTGGTATGTTTTCCGTGGTACTTAGTGGAATTTGTGGTTGTTCTTCATTAAGTTCTATGACTCCGCTATTCTTTGAGATAAAATCTTTCTCTAAGAATACAGCATTCCTCGAAACAAACACCTTTTGTTCAGAGGGATCATAGAAATAGTATCCAATAGACTCTCTAGGATACCCCACAAATTTACATAAGATGGATCTCATATCCAACTTACCTCCCACTAACTGCTTTACATAAGCAGTACAACCCCATACTCGTAAATATTTGTATGAGGGTGATTTACCACACCATATCTCATAAGGTGTGCTGGGTACAGCTTTACTTGGCACTCTATTCAAAATATATGCTGCTGTTTCTAAGGCATAGCCCCAGAATGAAAGAGGTAGATCAGTGGTACTCATCATCGATCGAACCATGTCCAACAATGTTCGATTCCTCCTTTCTGAAACCCCATTGAGTTGTGGAGTTCCAGGAGGCGTCCACTGTGAGACAATCCCATTATCTTTTAAATAATCAAGAAACTCATTAGTCAAATATTCACCTCCTCGATCTGATCGAAGAACTTTAATATTTCTACCAATTTGTTTCTCCACTTCATTTCTGAATTCTTTGAACTTTTCAAATACTTCAGATTTGTACCTCAATAGGTAAACATAACCATACCGTGAATAATCATCAGTGAAGGTTATGAAATAGTGATAGTTCCCCATTGCACTAACGTTTAGTGGTCCACAAACATCTGTATGGATCAAATCCAACAAACCTTTAGCTCGCTCCACTTGTCCAACAAATGGTGATTTAGTCATTTTACCTTTAAGACATGACTCACATGTAGGCAACCTATCCTCTCCCCTAAGGTCGAGTTTAGGTCCCAATTTGTGAATCCGCTTTTCGGATATATGACCTAATCTAGCATGCCAAATTGTGAATGAACTATGATTATCTAATTTCCTTTTATTTTGTTGAATGGTTAGGATGAGACTTTGTGGTGTAACGGTATACAACCCATTTGTCAAACTTCCGGAATATATAAAAGTTGTGTCTTTGAAAATAGAACACTTTCCATTTTCAATGACGAACTTAAAACCCTCTCTATCCAATTCTGGAATAGAAATTTTGTTTCTTATAACATCCGGAACATACAAACAATTTGTAAGGCAAATTTTTACACCATTATTTAAAGCTAGAT